CTCTTCCAGAGCACCTAGGTTCAGTGTTCCACACCCTCATCAGGCTATTCACAGTTACTTGTGACTCCAGCTCCAGGGGGTCCAACAGCCTCTTCTGGCCTCTGTGGGAACCCCCAAAGATGTGTAACACACACACACATACAGAGAGAGAGAAAAAGAGAGAAATTTGTTTGTTTTTTGAGACAGGGTTTCTCTGTGTAGGCCGGGCTGTTCTGAAACTCACTGTGTAGACCATGCTGGCCTGGAACTCAAAAAGAACCACCTGTCTCTGACCCCTGAGTGCTGGAATTAAAGGCCTATACAACCATGCCCAGCCACACACAGATACATTTTTTTCATCTTTTTTTTTTTTTCCAGTTTTTCAAGACAGGATTTCTCTGTGTAGTCCAGGCTGTCCTGGATTCACTTTGTAGACCAGGCTGGCCTCGAACTCACAGAGATCTGCCTACCTCTGCCTCCCCAAGTGTTGGGATTACAGGTGTGAGCCACAGTGCCCTGGAAGAGAATAAATCTTAAAAAAAAAAATAGATATCATGTAGCAGGGTAGATAATGAGTGAAAGATTGGATGGAGGAGGGAGAAATAGGTGGGTGGAAAAATTCATGTGTGGATCAATGATGTGATGAACAGGTAAATCAATAGATGGATGAATGGGCAAAAATTCTCTCCAGGGCTATGGGTGGATATGTGGACGAATAGACTTATGGAAATATGGATGGATGGATGGATGGATGGATGGATGGATGGATGGATGGATGGCGAGTGGGTCTATTGCTGGATACAGGTGGTGAGTGGATAAAGGACTGTGTGTGGACGAGTGCGTACAAGGGCAGATAAATAGATATATCAGTGTGTGGGTAGACAGTGGCTGAGTTGCACCGAAGGCAATACATGACAAAGGTATATAAAAACTTAAGTCCTGTTCTCCCCTGACATCCTAGTGTGAACCCTCAGCCTGAGTCCCCGAAAGCCTGTCAGGGCAGTTGGCTTCCATGACACACTTGCAGACCACCTGAAAATCTGTAGCCAGAAGCCCTCTGGGGTGGAACCTCAGAGGCAGGTGTCTGCCAGCTCCAGGCTTATTAGCAGTATTTACAGGGGCAATCTACAGTCCCCAGAGGACAGAGAAAGCCTGGTCAGCATGAGACAGCGACTAAAATCCCCAGGGGTGCCTTGGGGCCTCCTGCCTGGCAGAGGAGAGCCCCAGAAAGTAACCCCAAATATCTGGTATCTTGTCTCCTGGTACACAGTAAGCTGGTGTGGGTTTTGTTGGGGACACTCACCTTTGTGACACCCAGTGAGAGTGGCACGAAGAGGCCCACCTGGCGGCTGGAGGAACCCTGCCAGGGGCACCAGCATCGGGTGGGGGCAGGTGCGGAACCAGCTCTGGGCCTGTTGGCACATCTGCCCGATGATCGCCGGATGCGATGTAGCAAAGAAGAGGAGCCTGGCCAGGAGCTCCGTGTACAGGATGCTCCTCTCTGCAGCAAGACAAGGTGTGTCACTTCCCCGGCTGCCCACCACACTGCCACACCATGAGCCCCAGTTCCTACAGAGCTTTGGAAGAGCAGCTGGGACATCTCGGCCCAGGCCCCGTTGTACCATTTCTGTCTGCCTACCCCTGCCTCGGCCAGCAGCCTCCAGGCTCTGCTTACCATGTCCCTCTGCCTGGAGCTCCTCCTCAGGTCAGCCATCCTCCTCCAACCATTAACTGATTAGTTATTCATCTTGCTATTCCCCACATCGGCCTTGACTCTTGGGCTTAAGGGAGCCTTTTACTTCAGCTCCCCAAGTAGCTGAGATCCAGATACATGGTGAGCAGGAGGAGATGAAGGGCAGACTGCTGTGTATGGGTGTGTTGATGGATGGGAAGGTGGATGGCGTGGGAAGGTGGAGGAACGTGAGGGTGGAAGGGTGGTGGATGGGCAGAGCAGTGCAGTGTGGAGGGAAGACAGGAAGGGTGTATAGATGGACAGATGAAAACAGAAAGAAAGATGAAAGGAGAGTAGGAGGTGTGGGGGAGAGGTGAGCTGTGCCTAGCTTTCAAATTCTACCTCTGCCAAACTCATTCCCTGACTCCAGCCCAGTCTCGCCACCCGAGGCTGCTGTTTGATCTCACCTGCAGCCCATCTGGCAGCCCTCAGCCCCCTCCCTGCTCATTAGCCAGGGACAAGCAACTGTGCCTGGCCATAGGCACAGCACAGTACCCCAAGACACCCACAGTAGGTACTTGTGTCCAGTGTGGTTGCACAATCCTGGTGTCCTAGCTCTCTAGAGGCTCACACAGCAGGATTACGAGTTCAAAGCCAGCCTCAGTTAAATAGCATGTCGCTGGCTGAAAAGGAACAGGGGCTAAAGATCCCTCTCAGTGGATAAATGTGCTGCCAAGCCCGTGACCTGAGTTCAGTACCCAGGACCCACAAAATAGAAACAGAATGCCAACTCCCTCATTCTGTCCTCTGACAGCCTGTCCACACACGAGTGACTGATCACGAAGGCACACACACACACACACACACACACACACACACCATTTTTTACGTGGAGGAGGCTGGAATTTTCAGTGGTTAAGAGCATGCACCCACATTAGGTGGCTTATCACCCACTGTAACTCAAACCCCAAGCACCCAACTACTCTAGCCTACGTGGGCATCTGCACGAGCATAAAAAAGAAAAAAAAATGGGGGATCGGAACTGGCTCTGTGACAGCCACAGAGCGGGGCACAGGAAAATAAACTGGGGACGTGCACTGTCTGTGGCGCCCTCTGGCGGCAATATCTGTCACCACACCCATCCGAGGCGGGTGGAAATGAAGCTTTCTGGCTGACGGGGTGTAGGGAAGGATGGCTCAGAGGGTAGCGGTAGCATGTGCTCCCCCCGCATGCACGAAGCCCTGGGCTCCATCCCTAGCACCCGTGAACCAGGAGTAGCGCTGCACACCTGTTGCACGCCTGTCATCCCAGCACTTGGGAGGTGGAGGCAGATTAGGAGTTCAGCACATGATAGTTCAAGGCCAATGAGGGATACACGAAACTGTCTCAGACAGTTTACTAGACACACACACACCAGATATACACACACCACACACACATCAGACACACATACATACCGGACACACACACCCGACACACACCCAACAGAAACATCAGGCACACACCAAAAACACGTAAGATGAACAGAGGTCAAAGACACCAACAGGACACACCTATTTGACACACCCAGAGTGTGGCTTTCCAAACTCTAAGATTTAATATTTTCAAAACTTTATCCTTTAGATGGGCAGGTGTGATGCACACTTTAATCCCAGCACTCAAGAGGCAGAGGCAGGTGGAGCTCTGAGTTTGAGCCTGGTCTACAAAGTGAGTCCAGGACAGCCCAGGCTACACAGAGAAAGCCTGCCCTGAAAAACAGAAAAACAAAACGTTTATCTTTGAATTGTTAGTTTAATTCTTTTAATTTCATTTCACTTTTTCCTTTGCGTGCCTGTGTGCACGTATGCACATGTGCTGTGTCCTGTTGAGTGTGGTCCTGAGGGATCACTTCTCTCTGCCCACTGCCCTGTTGAGTGTGGTCCTGAGGGATCACTTCTCTCTGTCCACTGTCCTGTTGAGTGTGCTGTCAGAGGGTATCCTGAGGGATCACTTCTCTCTGTCCACTGTCTGGGTCACAGGATTGGACTCAGGTTCCAGACTCGCCAGCAGGAGCCTTGATCTAGCGAGCCAGGTAGGTGCCCCCTCCCTCTTACTTTTTGAGACAGGCTCTCTCACTGAGCCTGGAACCCACCTGACCACACCACCCATTCTGGGGTTTCGGGTGCATGCTGCCACCCTGTGCTCTCAGGTGGGACTGGGGATCTGAACTCAGGTCCTCATGCTCGTACAGAGAACACTTTACTGACTGAACCATGTCCCATCTCCCTACCCCCCCCCCCCCTGCCTTTTTTTTTTTTTTTTTTTTTAGGCAGGGTATCTCTGTGTAACCTTAGATGTTCTGGACTCGCTTTGTAGACCAGGGTGGTCTCAAACTCAGAGATCCACCTGCCTCTGCCTCGAGAATGCTGGTATTAACAGTGTGTACCACAGCACCCATCCTTTTTACTTTTGTCATCAGGTCTTTTGTAGCTGAGGTGGACCTTGAACTCCTGATCTCCTTCCTCTGCCTCCTAAGGGTTGGGATGGCAGAACTGCACCTCCACTTCCTTATTCACTCTTCTGGCCTGTCTTACTTTGGGTCACCAGCTCCCTGGGTTATCTCAAGTTGCAAGAACAAAGTACATTCAGCTGCCCTAGTGCCAACAGGATCCTGCAGACCCAAGACGGTGGTCAACCAGCCTGAGCCACACCAGGACAGTCCAGCTGCTCTTGCTCCTCCCCTGTGACCTCAGAACTGCAGGGAGCACCTGCCACCAACATTCGTCCATCATCAGACTGCTGCTTTGTCCCTGGTGTGTTCGCACTGAGGACAAAGTCCATTCTTGTGTTCACTGTCAATTCATTGTTTGTTGGGGAAGGTTATTGTCATTTTTTGTTTGTTTGAGATGGGGTTTCATTGTGTAGCCTTGGCTGTCCTGGAACTCCCTGTGTAGACCAAGCTGGCCTTGAACTCATAGGAATTCACCTGCTTCTGCCTCCCAACTGCTCAAATTAAAGGCTTTTGCCACCATGCCTGCTCTGTCAGTTTTTGTTGTTGTTTTGAGACATTTTTATGGAGCCCACGCTGACCTTGAACCTGAAGTTCAAACTTAGCTGAGGATGACTCTGAACTCCTGACCCTTGCCTTAGTCTCCCAGGAGTGCTGGGCTGACAGCTTTGTCTCCTGTTGAGTCAAGTGGGAGGCTGGGCTGGCTGTTCCTTTGGGAACCCCCAGTGTTAGGGCTCTAGCCTGAGACTCCAGCACCAAACTCAATCTTACTCCCCACCCCCAAACTGTACTTCCAAATAAAATCTTGGGGTAGACAAGATGGCTCTGCAGACAAAAGTGATTGTCACCAACCAGGACCCAATAAGAGAGAAATGAATTTTGAACCTTTGTCCTCTGAGCGCCACATGTGTGCTGTGGCACACACACTCCCATGGTATAAAAACATAAATGTACTTAAATAAATAAAAAGTAACACACAGAACAAGACACCATATGAAGCACCAACTGACAGCTTGGAGAAAAAAGTAGTTTTTTTTTTTATAAAGCTGCACACGCTGGCACACATCTGTAATCACAAGATTGAGCCCAACTTGCGTCACTCAGTGAGACTCTGTCTTAAAAGGAAGAGGCACAATCTTATAGAACACGTGCTTTTCTCCTCTGTGTGTGCATACATGTGTGGCTTATTCAGGCATAATCTCACACTACAGCTCAGGCCTGAGACTTCTGTGTATCCAGGCTAGCACTGAACTTGCAATAATTCTCCTGCCTCAGGCTCCTGAGTTCTGGGAAAACATGTGCACCTACTTTATCTTCCAACAGTGATTATTCTGTGTGCGTTGCATGCATATGTGCTCGCGTGTGCACGCTTGCACGATTGTGTGTGCATGTTCACGTGTGCGTCATATGCATGTGTATGTGCACACATATGTGGTGTCGGGGGTCACTCACCATGAGTGTCTTCCTCGATCACGCTCCACTTTGGTTTTGGTATCACAGGCTCAGCTGGACAGCTGCCAGCGGGACCCACGGCCTCCACCCACACCCAGCATGGGCTGCAGATGTGCGGCACCACAGTTGGCTTCATATGTGAGTGCTGGGCATCTGTGGGCAAATCTTCCTGCTCTCGTGACAAGCACTTTGCTGACTGAGCCATCTTCCCAACCTCGGAGGTTATTCTCATCTTCTGGATTTTATCAGTTAAAAATCCATGGGACTTATTTTTATCTCCTGTCATTTAAGCCTGAACACACTTCCCTTCATTCCCCTGAAATATTTCCTGTCTGGACCTGTCTAGAGGAAATGCAGGTCCAGAGGAAGGGACAGTGTTGCTTTTTCAGGTTTTGCTCCAAAGTTCTTCCAAATTCTACAAGTTAGTATTGAAGGAAGCATCATAGGTTTAGACAAGAAAATTACATCGTGGGTGGATGGAGAGAGAGGTGGGCAGGTGAATGGGTGGATGTGTGGATGGACACATGAATGGAAGGTTGGGGATTGACGAGTGGAGGGTAGATGGATAGACAGGTGGATGAGTGGATAGATGGGCTGACAAATGAATGATTGACAAATGGATGTGTAGGCTGGTGAAAAATCACCCTGCAGTTCCCTGGGAAGGCTGGATTTCTGGAGACCAGCACAGAGCAGGCCCTGTCAGGCTGGGATACTCACCCATGCCCCGGAGCTCCACAGCAGGGCGGCACAGCTGGAGAGCTTCTCTGACCAGACCAACCTCAGGAGAGTCCATGTGAGGGGCACACATGTCAAAGTCATCCAGCAGCTCCTCAATGCCCCCAGAGATGCCGCGGCAGCAAATCCAGCTCATGTTCCCTGTGGAGGATAAGAAGTGAGCAAAATAGGAGCTCTTGCTTCCTGCTGGCTCATTCTGAGAGCTGGAAAATGGTCGCCCTTTACTCCTAGGTTCTGAAGCTCCTCGGTTCTGGCACTGAGGCCAGTGGTTCTCTATCATGGAACATGGAGCTGTGACCTGGACTCCACCCCAGATGCTGCGGCAACCTCTCCCTGCAAGCGTGACTCTCAGAAATGTCTCAGGATTTGCCAGGTGTCTCCTGGGGAAGAATGTCCTTTTTTGAAAAGCATAGGCATGCATGGCAGATGGCAAAATAAGTGGATGGAACAGATATGTAGATAGATTGAGCGTAGACAGATGAATGAACAGATGAATGGATAGAAAGTTGGCTAAATGGATGAAGGTTGAAAGATAGATGGGTGGAAGGATGGGTGGATGGAATTTGGTACTGAAGGGAGAACTAAAAAGTTAAACTAGTGGCAGATAAATGAATGGATAGACAGATAGATATAATTAATGCATGGCTAATAGAGAGGTAGATAGATGGGTATATAAGTAGATGGGTGGATCAATGAATGGTTTGATGGAATGATAGATAAGTGTATGTATGTGTATGTATGGATGAATAGATGGCTGGACACATGGGTGGCTGGGTGGATCAATGGATGGATGGAGATGGATGGGTGGCCGGGTGGGTGAGTGGGTTGGTGGATGGATGGATGGATGGATGGATGGATGGATGGATGGATAAGTGGTGCCTCCTCTAAGGCCCTCATGGCCTCTGTCATGGCGGCTCTTACCCAGAACTTCCTGCTTCAGCTCCTCCATGCGGCCTGCGTGCAGCAGATGGAAGGGTAATTCTGTCAGCTTCCTCCTGTTGGCCACTGTGCCTGAGAACCACAGTGGCTGTGGGGCCACCTGATGGAGGTGGGGAGGGACATCAGCTGGGCTTGAAGTCAAATACTTTGCTTCATCCCACAAACACTGGCCAAGGTGGCACCAGATGTGCTGAAGGAGACAGGGACATAGTGGGAAACAGAGATACTTCCCCACCTCCCACAGCCAGGCTGAGCCAGAGGAAGGGCCCTGAGGCCTGAACAGTTCCAGAAATGGCAGGGAAATAGGGAAGTTCTGCTGGAGGTGGGACTTTGAAGCTGGGCCTCAGAGGATGAGTAGGAGCCTGTCTGGTAAAACACATCAGAACAGTAGCATTGAGGATACTGTGGGGTTCATTGCAGTCCCCAAAACTCAGGAGGGAGAGACAGAAGGACCACTTGAGCCTAAGACCTAGGTCACATTGAACAGAAAGGTAAGACTCCCATCTCAAAAAACAAAATAAAAAACAAATTCACACAGCAATAACATAAACAGAAACCCAGTGACACAGACAAAAGCCTGGAGGCCGTGAGCACTGGCCAATGAGGTCAGAATGAAAGTAGAGGCACTGGGGAGCTATGGGGTGTCAGAGCAGAGGCATAGCCAGACTGCATTCTAGAACTGTCTTTGTGAAGACAGGGTGAAGCAAAGCAGGAGGTCCCGGGCTAGAGGTGGAGGGCAGAGAGAAATCCTGGAGGAGGCAGCAGAGCGAGACTCCACTTGGGAACACAGCATCCAAGCTACTGACACCAAGGCTCAGGAGGGAAAGGACCGGGAGGAATTCTTCGCAGGGCTGCCAGAAGTGGGCCTCTCTGAGTGCGGGGACGTTGTTTTCTGATCTCTTCTATGCGTCCCCAGCAGCCACATGCACCCACGTGTGTATGCGGAGACCACAGTCCTTCTCAATTGCTCTCCAAGTGACTTTTGGAGACAGGCCCCCACTGATCCACAGAGATTGTGCTAGACAGACTGGCCATCAAGCCCCAGAGAGCCACTGAATTCCCCACCACCGGCTGCTGGTTTAGTTTTGTTTTGTTTTATGAGACATGGTCTCACTGTGCAGCCCTAGCTAGCCTGGAAGTCACTATGTTGACCAGGCTGGACTTGAACTCATAGAGATCCACCTGTCTCTGCTTCCCAAGTGCTGGGATTAAAGGTGTGAATCCCACCATGCCTGATCATGTGTGTCTTTTTTATGTTTATTGTATCGTATGTATATGGTTGTTTTTGCCTACATGTATGCCTGTGCACCACATGGGTACACAGAGGCCAGAAAAGGGTGTTGGATTCCTGGACCTGGAGTTAAAGATGTGAGCATCCATGTGAGTGTTGGGAATCAAATAGGTGTCTTCTGCTAGAGCATCTGGTGTTCTCTCTAGCCCCTGGCTTTTTTTATGTGGGTTCAAATACTCACCTAAGAAATAAGTCTTCATGTAAAGAAGAGTCACAGCCCTGTCCTCACATGTATCTGAGAAGACACCCATGGACAACGGGTGAGCAGCTGAGCAGCTGACAGTACAGGATGTGGACCATCTTCACAGAGCCCCAGTGCTGACTGACATTTTTACTTTATCCTCATCAACGTGCAAATACTCAGCGCAAAGTGGCACCCTGTGTCAACTGAGCCCTGCACCCAGAATTACATTGTTGGGCTGAGGGGGTGCCTCACTGCTGTGGTGGGGAACTGAGGTGGATTCAGAGGGTGTGTTGCATGGGAAAGAGGGAGAAGGGGAGTCATGGTGGGGTGCGGCTCTGGGAATGGAGTGCCCAGTGGCCTCACCTTCCGGTCCAGGTTCAGGGGCTTCCCCACGAGTGGCAAGGTGACAAGTTTTTTGGTGCCCTGGCTCCAGGCTCCAGAGAAGAAGTCAGCTAGCACACCATGCCTTTTGGCTCTCTCAGGCCCAGACAGGTATCGAACTTGGATCACCTGGGACAGCTGTCTGTGAAGAAAGAATACAGGCTGATGGCTCAGGGGACAGTGTAAGCTCAAAGGCTGTCTGTCTACCCTCTGTTCTGTTTCTTACTCAACACTGGTCTCTAAAATGACCTCTCTCCCTCCCTCTCTCTCTCTCTCTGTCTCTCTCCCTCTCTCTCTCCCCCCTCTCTAATTTTGCTTCTTGGGGCAATGAGAGCACTCAGTGGGCAGAGGCACTTTCTGCCGTGCCCCATGACCTCAATTTCATTCTTGTCACTTACATCATGGAAGGAGAGAACCAACTCCCACAAGTTGTCCTCTGACCTCCACACACCCTTCCACACACATCAGAAAATAATAAATAAATGTAAAAAGGACTTTTGATTGGGTGTTACAAGACTGTCACTGTAGCTACTCAGAGGCAGGAGGGTCACAGTTCACATCATGTGTGGCCAAATCGGGAGCTCAAGACCAGCCTGGGCAACCTAACAAGATATTATGGGAAATGGAAAAGTGAAAAGAGAACAGCTTAGTACATAAAGCATGAGAATCTCAGTTCAAATCCCCAGTGCACACGTCAAAGCACTGTGAGATGGGAAGAACTGTAACCCCAACGACTGGAAGGGAGCAGAGACAGGAGGAGTCCAAGAGGCTTGCTGTACAGCCATCTTCAAGTTCTCTAAATAGAAGGTGAAGAGTGACCTGAGGTCAACCTCTGTCCTCTAAATGTGGACACAGCAGGCGACAGTACCACAGACATATCTCACAGACAGACAGACAGACACACACACACACACACACACACACAGTGAAAAAGGGGCTGGGGGCATGGCTCAGGGATGGAGCCAATGCCTTGGATCCCTCAGTGAGGGGCTGGGGGCGTAGCTTTATAGGTAGAGCCCCTGCCTAAAATCCCATAGCACCTCAAATAACACTCAAGTAAATGCATGAAACAGAAAACACTGGGACCTGGTTTGTGATAGCTTGCCTGAATACCTCAGAAAAAGAAGTCAAGGATTTGGTTGGGAGCCTTTGCTCTCCAGGTCCCACGAAGACAGTGTCCCTTCTCAGGGCCTACCTGTGCGCAATGGCCAGCAGCATGCATCCATCCACAGGCTTCCTAGTCAGGCAGTGCCCCAGGTCCCGGCGGAGCCGCACCCACAGCAGGGGTGGGAAACGCAGCAGCTCCTTACTAGGAGGGGTCCAGTCCCGGTACACAGCCTGCAGGACTTCGTCATCCAAAGACAGCACATCCTTTAGCTCTGCCTCTGAGAGACCGTACCTGTGAGACAAAGGGGCACAGCATACTGCGAAGGAAGAGGTGTGGGGACTGTTTGTGCAGCCTCTGTCAAGAAACCTCCATATCAGCAGTTGAACAAATGCACCCTGTGGGCACCAGGCCTGGCTGACTCACAGACCACTGCAGGCAACCCCCCCACACCTCTGTAAAACCACACATGGGCCACTTCCAGGCTCAGGGGATCTGACCTGCAGCGAGGCGCGCAAGCCAGCACACTAACATGCACACAGCTACAAGAAGTACGTGAGAGCAGTTGTGGAGGTACGCACTTGAGAGGCAAGAGTCCATGATCTCCATGAGGGCCAGGCCAGTCTGTCCACAGAGCAAGCTCCAGGACAGCAGGGCCATGTAGAGAGACACTGTCCTAGACAACAACAAAACAGGACAAACAAACAAAACAAAACAAATAAATAAAAAGTAGAAAGACTAGCCTGGCATGATGGCACACGCCTGTGAGTCCAACACTCGGGAGGCACAGGCAGGCAGATCTCTGTGAGGCCAGCCTGGTCTACAGAGTGAGTTCCAGGACAGCCAGAGCAGTTATACAGAGAAATTCTGTCTCGAAATAAATAAATAAACAAATATAAAAAGACTAGGGCTGATATAGACAGACAGACATATTTAGTTTGCACAACCATGTCTGTTTTATTATATAATAGTCATAGTACATATTATGTCCATGTCAGGCATAATTCTAGAACTTATTCTATAGGGATGGCAATATGGTTCAGAGGGTGAAGGCAGCAGCTGTCAACAATAACCAGATCAGTTCCATCCCTGGGACCCCCATGGTGGAAGCAGAGAACTGATTCCTGCAAGCTGTCCTCTGGTAGTGGACAGTAGAGGCAGGAGGATCTCTGTGAGTTCCTGACCAGCCTGTATTAACTACTTACTAATATGTTAATAGCTAGCTTAATTGTGTGTTATTAATATATGACATATGTTAAATTATAATTATTAGTAATATACCAATGTCATGTCAGTTATGTTTACATTTTTTGCCATGTTTGCCATGTTTGTATGTTGCTCACAATATAATATTCTGCTTCATGAAAATGTCACTGGTAAATTAACATCAGACATCAAATTAGTGCTTTGTCATCTTTTGCACAGGATGATATGTTGCATGCATGTCCAGGTATCTCTCTGGAGTAACTGTTCTCTGTAGTCTAGACTGCTGAGCAGAGCCCCTGGTTGCACTCAAGGACTTCTCTTGCCCTGTCTGTGTGTTTTCTGTGTGGGCGCTCTAGTCTGCTCTCTCTTGTGATAAAACACTGATGAAGGGCAACTTGGGAAGTAGCCAGGTGTGGTGACTCACTCATTTAATCCCAGAGGCAGGAGGATCTCTTTGAGTTCGAAGCCAGCCTAGTCTACATAGTGAGTTCTAGGGTAGCCAAGGCTACAAAATAAGACCTTGTGTATTAATCATAATAACAATAAAGAAAAAGAAAATCAACTCAGACAAGAAAATGTTTGCTCTCCCTGCAGGTCATGTGTGCTTCATTGCTAATGGGAACCAGGCAGGAGCTCAAGGCAGGGGCTACCTGGAGGCTGGAGCTGGAGCCCAGGGCCGGCACTGCCTACAGTGGGCTGGGCCCTCCTATCAGCTAGTAATTAAGAAAATGGTCCACGGTCTTGCCCACAGGCCACTCCTCTGAGGCAAATCTCCCCCTGAGGTTTCCTCTGCCCAGTGTGTCAGACTGACAATAGGGATAAGCCACCGCTGGAGGTGTATGTGATCTGTGACCACAGTGCCCTAGCCCCACAGAGCAGGCGGAGATGCCCCCAGGCCGCTGCTGCAATCAGTTATAAATGTCAATTTTTTTTTCTTTTTTTAAGACTTATTTATGCATTATGTATTCAGTATTCTGCCTGTATATACACCTGAAGGCCAGAAGAGGGCACCAGATTTTACTATAAATGGTTGTGAGCCACCATGTAGTTGCTGGGAATTGAACTCAGGACCTGTGGAAGAACAGCCAGTGCTCTTAACTTCTGAGCCATCTCTCCAGATCCTCAAATTATTTCTAAGCACTAATTTTACAAAAGAAATGCTCCAGGGACTGGGGAGCTAGCTGGTGTGATGTGTAAAGTGCATAAGCCTGAGGGCATGGGCTTGAATCTCCAGCACCCCTAGAGAAAGCCAGGGACAGCAGGGCATGCACTTGTAATGCCAGTGCTCTGTGATGAGATGGGAGACAGGACAAGCCTACAGGCAGCTGGCCCAGGTGCCCTGAGGCAACAAGACCCTGTCTCAAGCAAGGCTTACACTCAAGACTGCCCACCATGAATGCTCCATAGTACACTATACACACACACACACACACACACAGAGAGAGAGAGAGAGAGAGAGAGAGAGAGAGAGAGAGAGCGCTACATGAAGGGAATCTTCAATGCATTCGCCACAAGAATGATACTGAATTGATAGACAGGACTGATGTCTATCACACCACATCCCCTGCTTGCTGCAATGATTACATGCTACATACATGTCTGAAATATGAACCCATACCCCACAAATACACTAGTTATTTTCTGTCAGTTAAAAAACAATTAAGGATTAGAGAAATGGCTCAGTGGTTAGGAATGCTTGCTACTCTTGGAAAAGACCTGAATTAGTTTTCCAGCACCTATAGCCAGCAGCTCACAATGACCTGTAATGCCAGATCCTGGAGATCTGATGCCCTCTTCTGGCCTCTGCAGGTACCTGCATTCATGTGCACAACCCCTACCTGCTTGACACACACATTCACATAAATAAAAATAAAATAAATCTTTAAAAACTGAATTGAGCTGGGTATGGTGGTGCATGCCTTTGATCTCCGCAATCAAGAGGCAGAGGCAAGAGGATCTGTGTGAGTTTGGGGCCAGCCACAGTTATACAGGCAGACCCTGTCTAAAAAAAAAAAAAATGCACAACAAAACCCTAGAAAAAATAATAAAGCAATGCAGCACAACTCAACACTGAACCGAGGGTTTAAAAAAAATCACTATCTCCGAGCGCAGTGGTGCACACCTGTAATCCCAGCACTCAGGGAGACAGAGGCAGATGAATCACAGTGAGTTTGAGGCCAACCTGTCCAGGACAGCCAAGGCTACACAGAGAAACACAAAAAACAAAACAAACAAACAAATCACATGCTCATCTCAACATGTCAGCAAAGGCCATGATGAAAATTGACAGACTTTGTAATAAAGTATCTTGACCACAGGGAGGGAAAGGCTGTTTAGACAGACAGTCTCAGGTCACAAGCACAGCAGCTGTGGACAGCTGGTCACAGCACAGCCACAGTCACCAGCGAAGAGGACTTTGCACCCACAGCACTGGCTCACTGCTCACACTCAGCTGGCTCCTCTCAGAGTCCAGGGCCCAGCTCGTGAACGCTGCTGCCAGGCTCTGGTCGGGTCCTCTTACTTCAGTGAACAAGCAAGGTACCCCTTACAGACAGACACACACACACACACACACACACACACACTCACAGAGATGACCACTCATGCACAGATATGCACACATACTGACACACAATGACACACACACATGCACAGACACACACAATGACACACATGGACATCCTCAAATACACACAATGTCACACAGACATACACACATACATACTTGCACAAACACAGACACAGACACACATACTGACACACATATACATGCACAGACACACAATGACACACACAGACATCTTTGAGCACAAGCGCATGCACACACACATATTCATGTATGCCCCAGGCTTACCCAATGCAGACAAAGTCTTCATAAGATTTTCTTCTCAGGAGACTGCTGTGTCAAGGCCGACCACACACGCTGAGGCAATAAAGCCATATAACAAACTGACTCCCAACGTTGTGCAGGCACCAAGTGAAATCAGAACAAGGACAAGTATGCCACTCTCTCCTCATCCAACAGAGTAATAAGACAGTAAAAGAAATAAGAGGGACATGATTCTGCATCTAAAAGACCCTCCGACCCCAGCAGGAAACTCTTGGAGCTGATGAAACTTGTGCAAAGCAGCAAGATACAAAATCAACACACAGGGTTGGAGCCCAGGCTCAGCCATGCAGCAGTCACATGCTAACCTCCACAGAGCCTGGGCTCTGTGTAAGTCCCCAAGAAAGGAAAGAAAAGGGTGGTGAGAGAATGTTCTCTAGGAGCATTAGGACCTTAGTGGAATCTGCAGCATCCACGCAAAATGCTGTGTATGGCCAGATCCCAGCCTGCACACTGGAGCACTGTGCTCACTGGCATGAGCGACAGCCTCAGCTAGACACCCTGTTTCAGAGAATAACGTAGAGAGGGAAAGAGCACTGAACACATACAACCAACCAACAAAAAGAGAGTGGAGGGAGGAAAGAGAGGAAAGAGAGAGGAGGGAAGGAAGAGGCAGGGAGGAGGGAGGCAGGCTTACCTGGAACACACAATGTAGCCCAGCACACGAGCCACCAGCAGCTGCCCGTGAGTCTCCTCCAGGCGGATGCAGAGCTGATGTGTGGCTTCCTCGGCTGTGGTGGCCAGGGGCACGGGAACAGTGAAGGAGGACCACTTCCGAGCCTCTTCAAAGGCCAGCCTTAGCCGCCCTGGGTGGCCACACTCTGGCAGGCTGGCCCAGAGGACATCCCTCTGCCCCGGGCTCAGCGTCCTCCTTTCTGCAGCCAGTAGCAGCTGGATGAACTCCTGCCCTTGACTTCCAGACAGGGCCTTCACCTCCCAGTAGGCACAGGGGTCCTTGAGGGTCTGTTGCAGGGTGTGTAACACCTGCTGGCCTGAGCATGTAGAGAGGATGAGGTGCACCCTCGGGGGACACTTGAGGGGCAGCCAGGAGACCCTTCGAGAATGGCATGTGGAATCCAGGTCATCCACAGAGTCCAGGAGCAGAACGAGGGACTCAACGTTTCTCTGAGACACAGTGTGGAGGAGGGTGTGGAAGAAGTGGCCCACCCGGGTATGGGCCTCCAGGACCTGGGCTGGGGGTAGTGGCAGCCCATATGCCAAGCACAGCTGGAAAGAGACGCTGTGGAGGAGGCTACGGGCATCCAGACTCATCTTCGTTGTCCCCAGCAGCCTCAGGATGACCACTGTCTTGTGGCCAAGCAGCCTTGGTACCTGCTGAGCTAGCTTGCACATTAGGGATGTTTTCCCGATGCCTGGTGGTCCATAGAGAACCAAGGGAGTATGGGGCCGGTTCTCATCCTGCCTGAGCTGCTGCCCCAGCTGGGCCAGGAACTCCTGGTGACCACAGAAGATCCTGGTGGTCTCTGTGCTCTGCCAGAGGTGGTGGCGGATCTCCTGGTAGAGCCAGCCCAGCTCCTGTCTGGCCAACTCTAGCTCTCGAAGCTGCTCCAGGACCTGATGGTTGGTTCTGGCCACAAACTGCTCACTTAGCTCTTTCAGGTAGCGGGCATGAGCCTTGTTCTTGGGGTTGACCAGGTCACGGGTCCAGGGCAGGCAGTGGGACTTCAGGGCTCCAGGCTGAGCATTCAGTATGCGCCCCTTAAGGCCACTGAGAAGACTCTGGGCGTTGGTATCCAGGCAGCCATCTGCCAACCGGTCCACCATCTTCAGAGAGCAATCATCCAAGATGTGTTTACTAAGGTCCTGTACATCTCTCAAGAAGATGGTGGCTCTCTGGTCCCCTCGAGCTGAGCTCAGGAGGCCCTGCTCGATCTCCCATTCAATGACTACAAGACAGAGCAAGAGAAGGACTCATCAGGGTCGCTGTGGCCTGAGACAGGCTGTTAGGAGGTGTGTTTCAGAGGGGCAGCTTTCGAAAGCCAAGTTGGGATGTGTGTAGTAGGTATGGGGGGTATTTACACACTACACCACCTCTAGGGTGTCAGGCCAGGAGCTCAATGGCTGATGGCCCAATGGAAACTGTGGGCTTCAGGTTCAAGAAGAGACTTTGTTTCAAAAAAAAAATCAGGTAGAGCAAAGAGCAACGCTGATATACTACTCTGGCCTCCATTTTCATACCCCCGCCACGGGCCCATACATACACACACACACACACACACACACACACACACACACACACCCTGTCCACAGCTGGGCAGGGTGGGGCCCGCCTGCAATTCCAGCCCTCAGGAGGCCCAGGAGAGAGTTGCTGGGATGTGGCCAGCCTGGACTATAAAACATTTTTATAAAATAAATAAATAAATCTTTTTACATTTATTTATTTAGTGAATTAGTTGCGGAGGGTGTGGGTGTGGGTGCCACCAAGTGTGAGGGAGGTCAGAGGTCAAGTTCTCTCCTTCTACCACAAGGGTCACTGGGACTGAACTCAGATTGTCAGGCTATGTGGCAGGCACCTTTATCTCCTGAAGTTCTAAGCCAGCCTAGAGTGCACAGAGAGACCATGCCTCAAAAGAAAAAAATTAAAATCATGCAGTGCGTAATCCCATTAATAAGAAATGTCCAGAGCAGGTGCGTGCATAGGCAGCAGATGAGTGGCCTTTTGCACCTAGACTAGGGGAACAGGGGTTGCTCCGAACTAGAATGAGGTGGCAGTATACAGCCTGGTGAGTATTAAATGCCCCCTAATTGTTTGCTTTACAGATAGGGATTTCAGCCTCTTTTCCTCCCCACCGACGTTCCTATTGTCATCATGGGCCACCACCCAGCCCAGTGTTACCAGTATTGGAAGAACAAGCTGTACCCAAAGTCTCACTTCTGCCAGGTATCCCTGATGCTAAGATCCCTGTCTTTGACTTGGGGTGGAAGAAGGCAAAAGTTGATGAATTCCCACTTTGTGGCCACATGGTATCAGATGAATGTGGACAGCTCTCTTCTGAAGCACTGGAGGCTGCTCATATTTGTGCCAACAGATACATGGTGAAGAGTTGTGGCAAGGATGGCTTTCATATTCTAGTGAGGCTCCACCCTTTTCATGCCATCCAAATCAACAAGATGCTGTTCTATGCTGGGGCCAACAGGCTCCAGAGAGGTATGTGTGGTGCCTTTGGGAAGCCCCAGGGCACACTGGCCACCTCATCATGTCTATCAGCACGAAACTTCAGAATAAGGAGCATGTGATTGAGCTCTGTGTAGAGCCAAGTTCAAGTTCCCTGATCGCCAGAAGACTCAGAGAAGTGGGGCTTTACCAAGTTTTATGAAGATGAATTTGAAGACATGATTGCTGAGAAGTGGCTCATTTCTGATGACTGGAGGTCAAATATATCCCCAATCGTGGTGCCCTGGACAAGTGCCCTTTTCCCTGAGGGTGTCCACAGTGCTCTCCTGTACCCTACCAAAATCGTGTTCCGTAATAAATCTCAGATCCAATCTGCTTTAAGAAAATGAGAATTCCAGCTCTGTGAGTGGCACCTCAGTGTGTCTTCTTCGGACAGTCAACAAACACTCATGCTTTAGCCTCTGCAGTCTGCATGGGGACTCGGCACTGAGGTCACCCCAGGATACAGGTAATGAGTGAGTGAGATCATGCTGCCAGATACGGGCGATGGGGACGTGGTGGCTGTGGAAGCAGAGGAGGGAGGAGGGATTTGTGCAGAGCTGTGCGTCTTTACGAACTGGCTAGGTGGAGGACCACTGCTGCCTGGGAAAAGCTTGGCAGGCCAAAGATAAGTCTGTTACGCCACACAGTTCTGATATTGTACTAAGACTGCAGCAGACACACCCACGTGAATATGCTCAAGCATGTGTCAATGAGATTTTTTGGTTTTTTTACAAACACAAGCGGTAGGCTGGCTGGTCCCTGCAGCAGGCTGTACTGTAGCTGCCCAAGGACGCCTTCATCATTCAAAGATTGAGCTCTATACAGCTCTGGCTGTCCTGGAACTATAGACCGGGCTAGCCTCAACTCAAGAGATCCGCCTGCCTCTGCTAGGAGTAAAGACATGTGCCACCATACCTGGCTTGTCCTTATTTTTTAATAATGTGCAAATGTGTGGGTGTGCACACGTGAGTACCAAGTCTCTGGCTGCAGAAGAGAACTGAACTCTCAGGGAGTAGCCAGCACTTCAATACTGAGCTATTTTCCCAGCAATGCCTGGGACTCTTATTTTCTTTTAAAATAATTTATTTAATATTATTTTATATGCATTAGTGTGAATGTGTCATATCCCTTGGAATTGGCTGTACAGACAATTGTGGGTGCTGGGAATTGAGTCCTTTGGAAGGGTAGACAGTGCTCTTAACACCGAGCCATCTCTCTATCCCTGGGACTCTTATTTCCTAGCAGCCTGAACTCATGCTGACTTATCTCAGGAGGCTCTTGTTTTGAAGTGGCAGCTAGATCTGAGAAGTTATTTTTGAAGCCCTCTGGGCTCAGTGGAGGCTCCCAGCTCTCCACAGATGGAAGAGCCAGGCCCTTGGAGACCCTACATTCCAGTCAGGGACAAGAGTCAACCAAAGTCCTCTCCAAGGCAGAGGACCGTTACCTTTGGAGGCTGAGGCAGGAGGATCCAAGGTCAGCCTGGGTGAATATAAGAAAAAGCTGGACAGAAGGACCTGGTGTTGTCTGAAGTTTAGTTAACTGGAATGCACCAGTGTTAAGTTAAACTCTGAGTCTTGACACATGTTCAGCAGAACTTGTGTATATACATTCCTGGGCTTGTGGCTCAGTGGGTAGAGCACTTGCCTAGAGCAGAGGTCTTGAGCTCCACCCCAACATGACATGAGCCCAGTGATGCACACCTCGTTCTCAATACTCCGGAGGCAGAGGCAGGGCATCAGGAGTTGAAGGTCATACTTGGCTACATAACAGGTTCAAGGCTAGCTTGCGCTACATGGAAGCCTATCAAAAAAAAAAAAAAAAATCAGCCAGTCAAATCTCAACAGGCAGCCTGGTCTACAGAGTGAGTTCCAGAACAGCCAGGACTACACAGAGAAACCCTGTCTTAAAAAAAATAAAAGAAACAAAACAAAAATCCTCCAAGAAACTCGGTGTGGGGGTTGGGGATTTAGCTCAGTGGTAGAGCGCTTGCCTAGCAAGACCCTGGGTTCGGTCCTCAGCTCTGGAAAAAAAAAAGACAAAAAGAAACTCGGTGGGTGAAGAGTTGGCCTTGTATTTGTGAGGAGCACAGTTTGCATCCTTAGCACTTACATAGAAGCTTAGTGAGGTGGTGCCCTGGGACCTAGCACCCTGGGAAGTGGGACAGAAACGCTGGAGCAGGATGGTAGCCGAGGAGAGCTCAATCTGTGAGCTCTGGACTCAGGGAGAGATGCCGCCTCAATGTACAGTAGGGAGATACCTGCAGCTCAGGCCACACATTTGCACACATACATGTGCACCTACACACACATGAGCATCCTCACACATGTGCACGCACACACGCGCGAGCATGTATGAAGGATGTGAAGGGCCTTGCCACCAAACTTGACAATCTGAGTTCAACTCCTGTAAAATGTCCTCTGACCTTCACCTGTCTCCATGGCTGGCACATATACCTCCCCTGCCAATAATAAATTCATACAAATTCAATATAAATTCATATAAAAATGAATGCAGGGAGTTCTAGGACAGCCAGGGCACAGAAGAGGAACCCTGCCTCAAAACATTCCTGGACAACTTTGGTCCCAGGCAAGCTGACATAGTGGCCACCCTGGGAGACAGGAGGGCAGAGCCAGGGCACAGAAAGAGGGTCCTGGAGATGGACACTGGATTGCCCAGGGCTGTGCAGTCTCCTGGGAGCCAGCAGGGTTGATGACTGAGGTGACACACTTGCATTTGAGGTCCTGTGTCACATAAACCTCTGGGGGTTCCCTGGGCCTCACCTGACCGATGGTAGCATGTCCATTGCTCCTGGCTGATGAGGCCTTGCCTCCAGGCCTCCTGGGCTCCAGCTCTTAGGATAGAGGTCAAGGTGGCTTCCTCTGGCCCTCGGGCCTCCATGGAGCCCGGAGGCTGCAGGACGTAAGTGGGAGGAATGGTGTTATCGTCTCTCCGAAAATATCTGGCCACCAGCTCCAGATCTTCAGGCCTGGAGGTCAGCTGAGCCCTCAGTACATCCCACTCCTTCTCCTCAATCCGTGCAGGAACTGGGCAGGGGCCATACTGGTCTCCCAGGAGGGCCTGGCAGGGAGGTAAATGAGGCAGGGTTAGGGCTCAAACTCCACTGGACCCTGAACTCTGCGACTGTGAAGGAAGCACACTGAGGTCTGAACACCAGCCTGGTGGGGACATTATGGTGACTATTACACAAAAAAGCAAGGCCAGAGGCTGGGTGTGAGGCCTGAGGCAGGAGGACTGTGAGTTCTAGAGCACAGTAGACAGTAATGGAAGTAATGTCTCAGAAGAATGAGGAGCTGTGCCTGGTGCGGTGGGGCACACCTGGAATCCCAGCACTCAGCTAGGCAGAGGCAGGCAGATCTCTGTGAGTTTGAGGCCAGCCTGGTCTACAAAGAGAGTCTAGGACAGCCAAGGCTACACAGAGAAACCCTGACTGGAAAAACTGACCAACCAACCAATCAAACAAACAAACAACTGAAACACACACTAAAAGAATGAAGTGCAACAACAGGAGCTGCACAGTGGAGGAGAGGGCAGAAAGATACCCAGAAGCAGTAGCTGAGGAGGGCCTGCGCGTGCGCACATGTGAACCCGTGTGTGCAAGTGTGCACATGTGGAAGGTGTGTGTGCGCTTGCGCTCAGGCACATGTGAAGGAGACAGGTGAGTTTCTGGTGTTTTGAGTCCAGGCTCTCATATTGCCCCGGTTAGCTCCCGCCTCACCCTCCTGAGCATCTGGGCAGAAGACCAGGCGTCCGTGGTGATGGACAGCTTCTCCAGAGGGAGCACCTTGCAGCCTCAGGCTGCAGCTGGCCCGGCCAGCCTCGGAGGAGGCAAATGTGCAGCCAGCTAGAGTTAGTGTGCTTGGGAAGTGCTGGGAGCAGCCAGCAGGGGCCCCATGAGGCCCAGCCTCTAAAGGAGGTGCACGGGGAGCCTGTAGCCTGCTAATGACTTATTTATCACAGGCCCATCTCTCCAGGGCACCAGTGTGGGTATGATTTTCGTGGAAAGTCCTCCTAACAGGAGTGACAGTGACAGTCAGACTGTGGGAACAGAGGGACAATATCGGAGGGAAATCAGCAGAGCTCAGCTGTGGTGCCAGAGGTCTAGAAGGTCCCCAGCACTGGTGGTGTGTATGGAGGAGGCCTGGGGGATGATCCTCCCCCATGCAGCTGGTGCCACTCTGTGTTTTCCCAGCCTGCAGGGCTGAGAGTCAGCTCCTCCGAGGTGTCGCCTAGCTACCCCACCCTCTCTCTCTGAAAGCATTTTTGTGCTTGGGTGTATTTCCCACTTCTCATCTTAAAAACATTTTTCAGTGTTGGCAGGATGGCTCAGTGAATAAAGGCATTTGCCACAGAGCCAGACAGCCTGAGTTTAATCCTAGAACACTCATGGTGGGAGCTTCAAGCAAAGTGACTCCTGCAGGTTGGTCTCTGATCTCCACATCACACCGAGGCCTGTACCCCATATGAGGCCTGTACCTCATAAATAAATAAAAATAAAGAAAAACCTTGAGCTGGACAAGTTGGGGGCACAGACTTGCCATCCCTGCACTCCAGGGATGGAGGCAAGAGGATCAAGTTAATGACTAGCTTTAGCTACATAGTCAGTTTGGGCCATCCTGGGCTATCTGAGAGCTTGAGAAAGAACAAATCCAGTTCTCTTTTGCAAACTCAACATGATTGTTAGGTCTTTGGGAAATTAAATTTAGGGGCATGGAAAAAGAACTGAGAAGGAGAGTTACAAGCATAAGGGCATGTTTATCTCGTGTGTGTGTTCTCTTGAGTGCACATATACATATGTGGCCTCTGCATATGGAGGCAAAGATTCACACTGTGTGACTTCTAGTCCTCTATTAATTTTTTAAAGTTTATTTACCTGTATGGTGTGCTACTGTGAGTGCAGTTTTCCACCGATGCCAGAAGAGGGCATTGGATCCCGTGAAGTTGAAGTTATAGGTGTCTGTAAACTGCCTGATGTGGGTGCTGGCTCCTCTGTGATTACAGCAGGCTGAGCTGTAATCCTAACTGCTGAGCCATCTCTCCAGCCCTCATTTTCTTTTTTGAGACAGCGTCTTTCTCTGAAAACCTAGAGCTCATCAATGGCCTAGACTGTCAGTAAGCTCCAGGGATCCAATCTGTCTTTGCCTGCTGGGTGCTCTGGATCTGAACTCAGGTCCTCGTGCTCACACACCAAACACTTTCTACACTGAGCCTCCCCTGCCATGCCTGAGAAAATAATTAAAACATGCTGGTAGCCATGTGCAAAGAGGAGACTAGGACACAATTTGAAGACACCAAAGGTACTATAGTTAAAAGTTAAGACATGGCCAGGGATGGTGGCACACACCCTTTATCCCAGCACGCTAAATCCAAGGCTAGCGTGCTCTACATAGCAAGCTCCAGGACAGTCAGGGACATTAAGGTAGGAGGATGGGACATCTGGAGGTCTAGAGGAGTAGGCAGATCAAGTTGAAAGTGGATTTAAAAAGACAAAGTATATGAAGGAATAAAATTGTCAAAGAAGACTTCTTTTTTTTTTTTTCAAGACAGGGTTTCTCTGTGTAGCCTTGGCTGTCCTGGAGTTGCTCTGTAGCCCAGGCTGGCCTTGAACTCACAAAGATAGGCCTGCCTCTGCCTCCCCGAGTGTTGTGCCACCACGCCTGGCAAAGAAGACATTTTTTAAAAATATTCATTTAAAAAAGACTTGTGGATTCAAACAATCCTCCTGCCTCCCAAGTAGGTGAAATGACAGGCGTTTGAACGGAGGCTCAGGCACACAGTCCACCTTCTTCTGTCTTGTGCTTTCAGGGAGACTTACTCTCTGAAGCGGCGCTAACATCTGAAACATTCTAGAAAGCCGGAGACTGCTAATCCATGCTGTCAACACTCACCATGCTCCAGGCAATGGGAACAGTGCTGCACAGGGTCTGCAAGACTGTGAGTGCGCGTGCACACAAGAGTGCCGTGACCAAAGAGGTCAGAAGAGGCATCAGACCCCCAGGAGGGCGAGTTATGCAGCCGTGCACTGCGAGGCATTCTGGGAGATTCACAGTGGTCCTCTGCAAGAGCAGTACAGGCTCTTAACTCCTGGATCTAGGGGTATTTTCTTTGTTTGTTTATTTTGTTTTGTTTCAAAATAGAGCCTCACCATGTAGCTCTGTCTATCCTGGAACTCTCTTTGTAGCCCAGGCTGGCCTCAAAGTCTCACAGCTCCTCCTGCCTCTGAAGTGCTGTGACTAAAGAAGTGTACCAGCTTGTTTTGTTTTTCATTTTTTGAGACAGGGACTGGAATTTGGTGGCCAAGGATGACCTTAAACTCCTGATCTTTCTGCCTCCACCTCCTGAGTGCTAGAATTACAGGCCTACACCCAGCTCGGAGATTATTTTGGTAATAGAGGAGGTACAGGTGTATGTATGGGTGGCTACCCTGTTCTAGACCAACTGAAGCATGGAGACGAAAAACACACTCCTAATAATATGAGTTTCTACTTTCTCTATTGTTTCCCAGAATCCCAACATTTCACAGATATAAAGTGGACCAGGTGCGAAAGGTGAGGAGAGGTTCATACCTAACTGGAATGTTTCCTCCCAAGCTCACTCTCCAGCTCACTTACTGTGTTTGATTACTAATGTCTGGTGCCTGGCTACTTCTGAGGAGGACATTCGTAATGTCTGCCCTAGCCAGTCTAAGGGTTTTGGGATGTTAGCTAAAGTGCCACCACCTCTCCCTCTCTTTTGTTTGCATAGCTGTCAGGGACCACATTCTGGTGATGGAAAAAGAACAAGGGCAACGCCGCCTACCCTGACACACTCACCACGAAAGCTGGGCCTATGGATGTTTTCTGACAGCGATCAAGTTCTTCCAAGCAGAGTTCTGTGGTCAAGTGGTCAGTGGCCTGTGTGTTCCGAATACCCCACCTCAGATCAACCACCTGGGAATCAGAAGGGTGAGGTTTCTGTGAGCGAATTGTTTTGCAGTTTTTTTGACTGAAGAATAGTATCTTCCAAGCAGCTTTGGCAGTATGTCTTTCCTAGGGGATTCTAGATTAGACAAATTTGGGGCTAAGGATGTACCTAAGTAGTGGACTGTTTGCAGAGAACCCAGTGAGGGGCTGGAGGCATGGTCTGTAGTAGATGATTTCCATAATGAGCACAATTTCTAGATTCCATTCTGTACCAGAATAAAAGAACGAAAACGACACTCCTTTAGTCCCAGAACTCGGGAGGCAAAGGCAGGCAGATCTCTGTGAGTTCAAGGCCAGTCTGGTTAACAAAGTGAGTTCCAGGACAGCCAGGGCTGTTATACAAAGAAACTTGTCTCGAAAAATATTCAAAAAGAAAAAAAATGGATCTTTGGTATAATTTGTTGTGATTCAGACCTGGGACAAGCAGCTGAGGTGTCATTTTAACCAAAGTGGACCTGACCCCCAGGTTTTCCCAGCATCCCTCAGTCCCTACCTCTTACAGGCATACCCACCCTCTACCCTGAACTTTCCAGCCTTGGGGAGGGGTGCTTACTTTCCCTCCCCGAGGAGCACTGAACTATATAATCCAGACATTTTGGTTCCCTTCTCTCTCTCTTTCTGCTCTCTCTCTCTTCTCTGCATGGCACTTTTTCTCTCTTTTTCTCTATGCTCCTGCCCTCCACCCCGACCCCACCGCCGCTTTTTTGTCTTCCCCTACATGTTAACCTCCCGGGTACTGGTCCCTGGGAATGGTGAACTCACCGAGAGCTGCCCCAATAGGCCTGCATTTCTATACTCTAACTTGGCTTGAACTGGCTATTTTTGTGGGCAGAAGAATGCTTATCATAATCGTGAGAAAAGAGATAGACCACAATAAGGAGACATCTTTGGCTATCTTCCAGGATTTCCAGTTGAGACTCTGAGAAGGTCACAGTCATGAACTGCAAGAAAAGTCCCCTGGGCTCCTAATGCTGAGGCAGGAAGGAAGGTTTTGAATAAGGCCTGTCTGAGCTACACAAAGATACTCAAGAAAAAGGAAAGAGAAGAGAAGAACGAAACGACACTCCTTTAGTCCCAGAACTCGGGAGGCAGAAGAGGAGAGGAGAGAACAGAGGAGAGAACAGAGGAGAGGAGAGGGGAGGGGAGGGGAGGGGAGGGG